TGTTGGATCAAGGACACATCTAAAACCTGCAGGACACCGGCCCTTGAGGCCTGGAGTTCCCCCACCCCTGGTGTAATGCATGAAGTGGCCAGCGAGTGTAGATTTCCTTCCTTGATTAAATACGTAAATAAGTGCCATTCGTGAATGCACCATTCTGCCAAGTTTCAAAGCTATGATATCATCTGTGACACATATGCAGTCACAAATCTGCAGACACCTTTCAGTGAGGTGTGTTGTGCAAATGACACCAGTTATGAGCCATATTCTCCCCCCAAGTTTAATCACATTCCCCTAATTGATAGTCAAATTAATTTCAGCTTCAAGATCAGGACAGTCAAATAACTGACATGTCAATGGGCAAAAAGAGAGCGATACATGGGAATCGTTTAGAAGAACAGGAGACACAATTAAGTTTAATCTACCATGGTTGCCCATTAGTCCAACATAAACTTTATTCCCCGAGCATACAGAGAGCATGAAGCTAAAATCAGTGGCTCATTTATAAGACTATTAACCAATACTGCTACCTGTGAAGGTCGACAAGAGCCGCTACAGTTTTATTATCCTGTAATGACACCTTGTCTTGCTGACATCATCCTTCTCTTTCCTCTCTTTACGTATCAGCGCATGCATTCTTTCCCCAGTTTAGCCCTACCCCCCGTCTACAGGGCTGTGTATCACATCAACTGTATAAAATCAAATAGCAGCTGTTGCTCATAGTTTCATTAGTGAGTTTGTGAATCTCCTTTCATCTTCTAATGATAAACATTAAAATATTTTCTATTTATGCATTTTTTTCCTCAAATGAAGACTATTTAAAAGTCATCTTGGGATATTTATGCAAATATTTATCATATCAAATGAAAAGTTATGATCCTATGTTGACTGTTTTTGGGATGCAGCAGCCTTGACCTTATCAACCCTTTTATACTCATCCTGTTCACTCTTACTGTGTAACTCTCCACTCCCTCCGCCTGGTAATCTAGACACAGGAATGACCCAAATCCAGCTAACTGTTGCTCCTCCTTTTCCAGACTCTCCAGTGTAAATGTTTTCTTAAAGGTTTCTGAACAGTGTGGGAGACAATAATGGATGTAATCTAAATGGGAAGTGCGTATGATTCATTCCCTTATACAGTCTTTATATCACAATATCTGACAACATCTAAATACATTAATAATTTTAAAAAAAAAGCATCCCTGTCTCTACTAAAACAGGAGCATTAGTCAGTCATGCACGCAGCTCCAACCAGAAGGCCTTTTTCTTTTGCAAATAATTATTTAGAGATGCTATTTTGCTGCAGGATTTTAAGCAAAACACTTTGAAGTTGTTTAAGACATGACATACAGAGGGGTTTCTTTTTTTTTCAGCCCAAGTGGGAGAACTCTGCATGGAACATAAGAAGGATTAGGTGAGGAGTGATTTCCCCCCCCCCATCTTTCTTAAATCACATATCAGCGAGAGTAAGAGAGTGAGTGAGAAAACACTCTGCACAGTAGTCTAGGCGAGAGGCCAGTGGCTCGAGGGTAAAAGAGCGAGTGCAGAGAACAGACTGAGAATATTATTCAGCTCAGAGATGGCTAAAAGAGAGAGGGAGACGGGATGAAGGCTGTTTAAGATGAAGGAAGGAGGAGGCAAAGGAGAATTTGTGAGGGAAGGGTAATCACAGGTTTATCCAGTGTGTGCGTGTCACTTACGGGTGTAGATACTAGTCCAGAGTCAGGACTTTGGTCCACAGACAGAGGTGTGCCTGTAACCCTGAATTCAGAGCCATGGGATGAGTGGGATTTGGGGAAACTGCCAGTGAGTGTGTTCACACCTGAAGAGCTGAGAAAAGGGGGAGAAAAAAAATAAAAAGAGAGACAATAATTATCCCATCTTCCATCCCTGTTTGAAGTGGAGCTGTTCTTTGGTAATGTAATCCCTGGTGTGTGCTAAAACCCTGACCACCGACCGAGTGGTTAGGGTTACACTGAACTGGGCCCGACAATGCAGATTAGGACCCGTTGCCATAGCTCCAGAGGACACCTGAGCAGGTGCTATTAGGTTATCATAATCTGTGTCGGCAGGGGGTAGCTGGACCCTCTATAATTGATACTGCATGCCCTGTGGCGGTGTGCTAAATAGTTATCATACAAAAGAACTGCGTAGATGATACAATATTTATTTATTTATATTTAATTAAATATATATAAATTAAAGGATTTTTAAATGTTATACCTACGTTTTAAGCTAAACTGGCTTCGTTTTTTTTCGTACATATTCGAGGTCCAATAAAAAATATAGAGAGCAAATAAACCGACTATTACTGTGATGAACTAAATGAAATGCCAGGCAGAGGTAAGACGACTGTTAAGGATATTATCTCAAATTTTCGAGTTACTGACTTCAGTCTAAATTTCAACGACTTTTTTAATTTTATTGTTATTATATTTTATTTTTTCAGAAGAAACAAGCTTCCACATTTCATTGTAGCCATTTGGCTATGTCACTGAGGGCTAAAGCCAAGTGTTAGCAATGGCATTAATGAAGGTTTCTCCCTATTTAGGTAGAAAACCTTAATTAATGGGCAAATTATTTCACATCGCACAAGGTGCACTGGATGAAAAAGCTACACTGACGGGCGTCACAGAGTGAAGCTGGTGTCTGTCATGCAGACAAAGCTGATTCGCCTTACCTTTCTGACATGTCCCAAGAGCCTTGTGATGAATTTTCCCGGCCTTCTTTAGCACATTGCGGACGGCTCGCTGTAGCCCTGCAGCCCCGTGGCTGTTACCCATGGAGCCCGCCGTGTTTGTTAGGATTCACCCAGCGAGAGTTGACCGTCCTGCTGGCCGGCTGTGGCTCTGCAGAGAGAGACTGACAGCAGTGTGGGCCCAGAGCCGGAGCTGCCAAGGGCGCTGCTCAGGCTTATCACTCAGGACAGGTAGAAATTAGAGCAGAGTGCGCGTGAGGGCCGCACCACGCGCTCGTGAAGCTGTTATTCAAAGTTCAAATGGATTGTGACAGCTAGTATAACGAAGGCTTTTCAAAAGTGACAAAATCACAAATGAGCCTGCTGAAACGCAAGTTTTTGTCAGAAAAATGTGACCTAGTGATCTCTAGTTCTTTCTTTCTTTCGTCTTTCTTTGCCACAGAGTCTCCTCCTCTCGTTTTCTCGAGCAAATGCCTGCCCAAGCAATACCTCGACATATAACTATTTACAAAGTGTATCAACTCTAAGGCAGTTTACATATGTGTGTAAATTACTGTTAATGTTCACTCGGTATTGTAAACCTTTTGGAAGGCTGACCATGCATTGCATTTTGTGAGTTAAATTGTAGCCACAAACATGATTATCTCTCCTGCTGCTGGCACACATCAGTGGAATAAATCTATAAAGCCAGACCAAACAATAAAACGGAAATTCTTAAAAACAAATTACTGCAAATATTTAACCAGCAGCTGTCCATATAGACAGCAGCTAGAGAAAAGTCTTTGTATTTTCTTGTAGTTTCTGTACACTATGGGGCAGAAGAGGTAAGAGAGGAGCACACAATGAAGGTATATGGAGCAGATATCATCGCTGCTCGTTTAAGACGTTTAGATTAAGAATACCTTCTTAAACCTTATTGTTTCTCCATAGTTTAGCTTATTGAGTTTAACATTTAATAGTGAATCTCACTTCTCACAGTTAAGTGAAAACACTAGGAACTGCACAGCAGTGTGGAAATGAGTCCTTGTAACTTTGCATAGAGCTTTGGCTTATTGTTAGCTGATTTAGTGCTTCCGATGGACAGACTCATTATATGATAATCTTCCTTAATAACTTTAAGAAAGCCAACTTCATTTTGTGTGGCAAACGTAACAAAAGATGTGCACATAAATGTTACATATAAACACATTACATATAAACAAAAGGAAAATATTTTTTAATCAGGATTCTTTTATTCTATTTAAGATATATTAAAATACCGACAGTTTCCTGAGTACCTGATAGTGATCATGACCAGCAGCATGACCAGAGCACAGGTCTCACTCCCTTCACCAGCTACATGATCTGCGTGCATGTGTGTTCAGGAGGGTTATGCAGGCTTGAAATAATTCCAAGATGCCTTTGGTGGAAAATGACTGGCTCTACTCCAAAGGCTTCAATAGCTAAAGCATTGCGTGTTTAGCTGGAGCTGGTTTGGCGCATTAGTGGTTATGCAGCTTTAGAATTAGGGAAAGGCCTGTTGTTTACAATCCGCATAAGCTGTCGTGTCCTTGAATTAAAAGTGCGTTTAACTTTTGGTAACACTTTATAACACCGCCCACGATGAAAGTCGTAATTCCCCAGCACCTAAATCAGATTTCAACATTTTTAATATAATGTAGTTATATTTACATGCAAGTACTTAAAGTCAGGGACATTCGAATAAGGGGCTAAGAAATCATGTTTTTGCTGGAAACAAATAAACAATTATACTGTAAGTAAATTTAAGCACTGCATAATTTCCTGGTAATTTAGTGGAAATTAAAATACATATGTACATTGCACATTTTGGGGTGTGGGCTGTATCATGGAGTGGCTTAACCTGCTTAACTATTATTACAGGAGAGGAGACACACATTATACTCCAAGTAATTTTATTACACCTTGAGTAAAAATGGACAATTGAATAATAGAGAAATCAATTATGCACATCAATTTAATAAATATCAAATAAGAATATATAGAATAAGCCACTCCAAGGTAACAAGGGGAAACTGTTTGTTTTTCCACAAAATTACCAAGAAAATAGACAGTACTTAAAATTATTGATGCAGTCCTTAAAATGACTCCTTAAATTTACTTACAGTATTATTATTTAAACCTTTAAAAAAAGCATGTTAATATATTTACATTTCATTTTAAAATTAAAATGGACTAAAATTCCATTTAATTACAGGGAAATTACACCCTTAGTTGCATGATGTATTATAAAGTGGTACCTACCTTTAAAAAAAAACAAGACAGCAAACAACCTCTACACACAAAGAAAGTGGTACATTTTAATGGGAACACATTCATGTTTTTATTGAATAAAATACTCAATACAGCTGGTGTTACTGTTTCTCCCTGTATGTACATCCAAAGCAGTGCAGCAGATCTTGTTCAGCGCACCTGCATGCTCCAGTCACTCTCTAAAGCAACCGCTTTAGCAAGCTTTAAGACGCCCAGCTGGGTCTTAATCAACCACTCTGATGTGATAAGGCATATTAGTTCATTAGCAGTGTAGCCATGTGCCTACAGTGTAAAAATGTCTCAATACTGTCTGGAACAGATATATTACTAAGATTTATCATATAAGGACAAAGTGTTTGCACATGTTTATTCTGCAATAAATATTGAGCATATATATGTATATAGAACACAATGTCAAATGTACAGGGATGTAAGTTAAAGTAAATATTTCCAAAGAGGAAGGGTTTTGTGCATTTTGTGGGCATGAGTGTGAGTGAGTATTAAGCTGCTGAACTTAAAAGGGTTGTGCACGAATTACATCCCAGGTGTACTTCCAGCTCACATACATACAAACCCTACTTTACTAGAGAATATTTACAGCTTCCTCTTTCTGCACGTCTCTATCCAGGAATTTAAAGCTCCCAGTATCAAAACACAGCCACGTAACGTGTCAAATGTCATGTTTCAATATATAATATATCATATAATATTCAGCTTATAGATCTATTTTTTTTTTCCATAAAGAGTATAAAACACAGCTGAAGATGGTGACACAAGATAGGTAGCATTTATGACGTCAGGATCTGATTAGCTGAGACTGTGTGACCTCATGTCACAGTTACATGGAGTCAAAGGCATGGTCGTTGGGATCGATGATCTCAGGAGTCATGACTCTGCCCATGAAGAGGATGGACCCTGGAGGAAGACAAAAACAAAAACGTATCCCTTATATGTACCAGCTTACTTAAAATATGTATTTTGTAGGTGATGCATAGACGCACAAACCACAGATTACTCGTATTTTCCACACAGAGATTAACGCACCTGTTCTCCTGTTTCTGATAATGAAGAAGAATGGGTGATCAGCCATGACCTGTGGGTACAGGACCAGAGTCCTGGTCAGGGCAATCATTCCTAAGACACGGGGAAAAAAAACAAAAAAAAAAAAACATCAACATTTATACACAACAAAATGCCATGCATTTAGTCATGTGTGGACTAAAACACAAAAATATACCTGAACCAACAGCTCCCTCTGCCCCCTCCTCTGTCACCTCCAGGTAGGCCTTCTGCACCGCTTTCCCAATGTACAGATCCTCAACATCTGGATAATGTACACAGAAAAAACACAGCACATCGCCTTTTCTTTATAAGATGTATGCATATCTATGCTGAGGTCTAGAATATATCCTGTTACTGACTGAATCAGGATTGCAAGCCAAACATATGGGTCACATCAAGTCACAAGCATTGGTTAGAAACTATTCTTTAGCCAATGATTGCTTTTTAACATTGCCCCCAGTTATCTACCAGCCTGTCTGAACAGAGCGTGTCCTCTGAGTAGATATTTGGCTGAGGAAGTGTTAGCAAGTGCAAGATGTGCCCGAATTCAGTACTGCCTACTCTGTTTCACTATACATCACCAACTCCACCTGATAAGAACAAGCGGTCTTGAGCTAGATTGATAATCCTGAGGGAAACTGACATTATAAAGTTGTTTCAAATATTAAGTAGTTATCAATTTAGCTGAATATTACTTATGTGTCCACGTTATTTACCCTGACATATTTATGTCCCTATTTCTTTGCCTCTGTGGATCTACCTGTCTCACTCTGTGCATCTATTTTTAACAGATGACGTGACAGCTCTGACCTGCCCACTCAGTGCCAGTTACCTTGGTTACCTTGGAAAGTACTGAAGGCTATTTCACTGCTCCCCAGAAGAACAAGTATTAAATGTTACATACTGAAGCGTTTTAGAAGTTTATGCGCTTCATTTTTATGCCTCACCTGTCATGGCAGAGAGATCAGCATTGTTGGTGAAGATGTTCTTTATTCCCAGTTCCTGCAGAGTGTCCTTCAGATCGATCTTCTGCTCCACCTTAAACCTGAACAGGTGAGGTTTGACTTAGAGTTGAGTTTGGGATTCAAAAAGGGGACTATATAATGTAAATGGTCTAAAGGCGCAAAGGTGACAGATGAAGCTAGCGAAACATACCACAACATAAGTGAGAGGTGGTGAGTGGACTTGCACATATATAAAAGTCTCACCTCGGTAGGTAGACTTCCACCTTCTGTCGTTTGACATTGTTAGCCCACTCCTCCAGCAGCGGCGCTTTAATGATGGGCTCCAGGGAGGCCAGAGGTACTTCCTGCCGAGGAAGAACGATCATCATGGACATGTCCTCTCCCTCGTAGGGCATTTCCAACACCTGGTACACACCGCCGGCCTCCTGTGAGCCGTCACTGAATTCACCTGATAGGGAGGAAACATACAAATCTGTGGGTATTGATGGATATATGCAAAAGCTTGCACGCTCATATTGTATGTGCTGGTGGCCCCCTGTAATGGGTTTGTGAAGTTCACTGAGGAGGAACATTTACAAATGGAAGCACGCTGAGGCGCAATGATTGGCTGTATTGATTACAGAGTGCGTGTGGTCATTTCCCCCAATGCTTTAATTAAAAACCACTGACGCTTAACTTCAAAGGCTTTGCTTACACTTTGTGTGAAAATGGATTACATCCATTGTATACTGTATGTAGTCGCCTAGTACTAACAGCACCCTGTTGAAAGCCCAAGAAAAATTCAGTTATGCAGTGAAAGTGAGTGTGTTTGACTATGTCTTTCAGTTAAATGCCCCCCCCGCCGCACAAATATGATCATGACTTTCTGCAGGTGGAAATTAAACCAAGTAAGCCTGTAAAGTATAGCGGTAAAAAACAATAGTGAAACAAAAACACCTCAATTTATATCAATAAAGATGTGTAGCTGCATAGCAGAGACCACCCTCACTAACTTCTAATGCACACCCAGTCATTTTGTTTTATAAGCCTGAAATATGACAGAAATTGGCTTCAGGGGTAATTCCTAGTAGGCTTTTAAGGGGTAAAGAGTTCAATCTGAACATGCTGCTTAGATTTTGGAGTATAAGATAAAGTCTATGAAGAATTTGATCCCATTCTTTGCACACAAATCTTCTTTTGAAGCTGCTTTAAAGGGGAAAATTACAACAAAAAGACTGAACACCCTTCATTAAGTGAGCATTCTTGCTGTTAGGGAAGCAGCCACGCAGCAGATAATGTGGCCTCCCGAAACATTTTACTTAACCAATATGATTTCGCTTCATAATGCACAATCACACTCTGTGGATCGTGCTGCAGAAAGCAACCATTTCCCTAAGGACCTGTCCTTGTTTTGCAGCTCTCAAATACGCCATATCCACACCCATTCACACATGCACAAATTTCCTTGATCCTGTGTATGTGAGCATGTGTGAATGTAGGTGTGCGCGAGCATCCTCGCTGCAGTCGTACACAGACGGGACCAAAATAACTGAAATGCACCAGCGTTTGCAGCAGAGCCATAAGACTGTGATGCGACTGTTTTTGGCAGTACGGCACATTAAGAAGGATGCGGAAGAAACAGACGAGCGTCAGTCACATGTAACAGCACAGCAGACAAACTGCAGGGTTCTGTGCAGTATTGCATCTCCCAGCAAAACAGAAATTTACCGTGTACAGTACATCTAAGCTCTGGAACTTAAAGACAGCATAGATCCAGAGAATAAACCAATGGCACCTACGTCGATTTAGTTACATAATAACTAAACTGTAACATCACAACTTGGTTACAAAAAAATTACTACTGCATTGTGCAAAACAGTGTGCATGTTGCAACTTAATGACAAAGACTTAATAACAGAAGTCAAAAAGTCTAATCAGATTTCTGCAGATCATTACATTTAAGCAAAAAAAAAAAAAAAAAAAAGGAATATAAAAGTTTGGGTTACTTTAATGGTATTAGAACTAGACACAGATAAAACATCCTCCAGAGGCTAACAGAAAAGAAAAAAGGACATATGCTGAACAACAAAAAAAAAAAGAAAAGAAATCAACACACTTAAAAAGAAAACAAAGCAAAAGCCTCCCTTTATTTGTACCTTCAAAACTAATATAGTAGCGCACAGCTTAGCACAGACTGTGACAATTAAGTGCTGATATTTCTGACACGAAAAGCTTTCAAAACCTCCACTAAGTTGAAAAGACGTACCAGCGGTGTCTGTGCGAGTGAACAGAATTTTAACCGAGCTGAAAACAGGAGCCTATTTCAGGGAATAACACTCGACATGACATATGAATATTTTACAACAAAGATTAACATTTTACATAACCTCAGGAAATATGAGCTGAAAATCAAGGCCTGCGGAGAAAATGCCACGAGTACAAATCTAAAACTGCAAACACACACACATACACTGTTCTTTCCTACCATAGTAGAAGTCTCCCTGCTGGTACATCATGAGTGTCTGGACTTCAGAGCCGTCATCTCTGCTGAAGGAAAAGGTCCTGGTGTTCTCCGGCCTGAACTGGTTTTTCCAGGAGCCTCTGAAATAAACTGCGTTCACCAGGGTCAGACGGGTCACGCTGCTGAAGTCATCGGCTGAGAGCAGAGCCCGGATTTTACCTGGAGGGAGCGATTTGTACGCTTTGTTTAAAACACCTTGGTTTCCATTAGCGCTAAGATAGCCCCCTACTGAGGTGGTTTTTAGCATGTGGATGCAATTACACAAAAACCAAGGTGTTGCAACTGCTTTGACAATGTACCATGTCAGCAGCTCATAATCGGATTGTTGTTGTCTGAAGAAGAAGGTGCACGCATACACCATGCTCTTGGTTAGCAACGTGCATGGAGGCTACTACCATTGCTGTATGTTTAAATCCATTACTCCAGACTCCTAAACATCAGGCAGATTTTAACAGAGGATAGCTGTATATCTATCAGTATGCATTCATTCAGTCTCTTTAACAGCATCCCCACTTTTTCCCTCTCTCTGTAACTTACTGTCGGTGTGATTCTCCACCCATTTGTTGATCTGCTCAGCCACGGCAGACGATTCGCTGAAGTCAACCGTTTCCACGTCAGCTCGGAAGTACTTCTTCATCAAATGCAGAAACTCTGGGTTAAAGGTGACATCTTCCTGCAAAAACAGGCTGTTGGCAAATCGGATCACATAGTGGCTGTCATCATCCAACAGGGCCGCTGTCAGGTTCTGGAGCAAGGAGAACTCGACACCTGGAGAACAAAAGGACAGACACACGTTCTTACTTTAGACATTATTTAAAAGCTTTGAGCATCACATGTGCTGTTATACAAGATCATTTGAAAAAATACATATTCTAAAAATCCAAGATTTTTTAAAATTTGTCCGACCCATAGAGGGCAGTTTTCCTCTTTGCACCAGTCCATCTTAAAAACGCTTCATCACAGAGAAAATGGAGGCATTTTAAAAATCTTTTTACCAACAACGGTTCCTGTGAGTTACACTACAAAACCTTATTTATTTTAAATGCGATGTCTGAAGGTCCACAGATCATAGCCTATCAATATCACTTCATCTCTTGTGTCCAGGTCCTCTGAATCTTTTAATTCTATTATGTACTATAACGAATAAAACCCCCAAATTATTTTATCTTATTTTGACAAATTTTCTCCTTAAATTATTGATCCAATCTTTCCGGTGAACCTCTCCCCATCCCCCACCCAGGGGAGGCTATGACTCAGTCGGTGGAGCGGGTCGTCCACTATTTGGAGGGTCAGTGGTTTGATCCATGCCTTCTCCAGCAACGCGATAGATTAGCAACCTGTCCAGGGTGTACCCCGCCTCTCGCCCTATGACAGGTGGGACAGGCTCCAGCCTTCCCCTGTGACCCTGAATTGGATAAGCGGAAGAAAATGGATGGATGGACGGGAAGACACTGAACCCAGAGTTACCTCCGATCCATCCATCAGAGTGTAAATGAATGTTAGGTTCAAAGAACGCATAAATGGTTGACTGAGGCTTGTAGTAAGAGCTTTGAGTGGTAACAGAGTAAAAAAACAACTTCAGCTTATAAATAATATTCTATTCTATAATATATTATTTTTGCACCATAGCAATAGATATACAATACAATATATAACTGTTTCAATCGTTCATGTGTATAAAGGTGTATAAGAGAAGGAGAGCCCCTGAATCCTACTCCTCTTGTGTAAAGAAATACATTTGCATTTGTTGTGTCAAAGACTCATCTCCACTCACTTACTCCTGACCTTGACGTGTGTGTGAACTGCTGCTTATAAACACGTTTCACCTGGCAGCAGATGGCTGAATCCGACAGCCTGTCGTATCTCCTCTAGTGAAGCCCCCCTGGCTCCCAGCTCCACCATGCCCAGGGCCACGGCCACGCTCAGCGGGGAGAAAATGATGTTGTCTTGACCCCCTGCTGCCTGCAGCCGTTGGTACAGTCTGACCGAGAACTCTGATGTAGTGTCCTCTGGAATGTCAGCCGCACGGCAACCGTAGCCCGGCAACAGGATGGAGAGGAGGAGGAGCGGGGACAAAACGTCCAGGATCAACATCGCAGCACAGACCACAGAGGGCTGAGTAAAAGAGGGCGGGTATGCAGTGGATTGAAAGAAAAAGAAAGATGAGAAATTTATTATGAAGATTGAGAGAACGGTGGGATAAGAGGAGCAAGGTAGAAGGAAAAAAGAAGGAGAGGCAATTAAGTTGAACAATATGTTTGAAATATAGATGGAGAGAGCCAAAGATATATGGAAGGATGGAAAAAAGGAGGATGCAGACATATAGATGAGAGAAAATTATTAGGAATAAGAAATGTGGTCAAAAGTAGAGTTTAGATGGGACAGAGAGGCAAAGGTAGAGACAACAACACGCAGGAGAGATAATGTGATAAAGCAAAAAAGATTATTGAGCGGGGGAGATGAAGGACAAGAGGATTTTTGGAAGAGACAGACAGAGATGAAAGACACAGTAGAGATGTAGGATGATGAATAGGACAAGAGAGAGTTAGAAAACATCTGTCAATCAACCAGTCTGCCCATTTTAATTTTACAGGGGAATAAAAAAAAATACATGTATACAAATACTCACTGTGCCAAATTCCCTCCTCCTTAAATCACAGTAAAGTACTGTCAGCTAGACATCGCATGCACTGTAATCTACAAAAACACTTCCTTACTCTAGAAAAATGTTTTATACTATGATGTTACTGTAACATTCAGTGTAACAGTCAGAGCTGAGGTGCTACAGGAAGTTTATACCTGCTTCTAAATTAAATCGACCAAAAGCGCTATAAGAAGCAGTAGGACTCTTGCAAAGGTAATGTATCATTATCCTAAGATGTACAGTAGATATCATGATGTTCAGTGTTACATGGTAGCAGAAGTCATCCGAGAAATGGAAAAATACTGTTAAAATGTATGAAAAAGAACAAAAGAGGCCATGACACATACAGTACATGTGTGAAGCTGACTACAGCGAGTACTGCTATTCAGAGCACATCCGCTAAATGAACTTCTAAATATTTCATGGCCATTCTTATCATCTTGAGTAAAATCAGCTTCTTTCCTTTAAAACATGCTTTGCTCTGTGCGTTTTGAAGGTTTCTGATGTGAACGGGCAATTTTCTTTCCGTTTGTGGAGAGTAAGTGACTTGGAAAAAGGCCTTTACCTTCCCCCCATCCTCCATCCTTCCCCTTATCTTGCCATGCCAACAGTTCTGGCCCTCTTTTCCCCTCTTGCTCTTATCCATATTTAATCCTGTCCTCACCACTCCTTTCCTCTCTCCCTCTCTCTTTACATCCCCAGATTGATGGGGAGTATGCGCACACACACACACACACACACACACTAACTGTGGTGCTCTTGTTGCCAAGCAACATTGTTTTTTGCTGGCCAAACAGAAAAAAAAAAATCGAGTGATCATTTCCATAAACATGGAGGACGTTATCAGGTGCAGGGCGCGTGAGATAGAGAGCATTTGTTTTGCTGTTTGTCTCTCTGTTGTGCTGTTACTATTATAGGTTGTATAAAGGGTTCAATTAGCAGCCCGGCTGGAATCTGCTGGCTGCACGTGCGAGATGGCAGGTGTTGGTGGTGACAATGTACCTGAGTGTCAACAGCATAAACAATGGGCAGCAGCCAGAAAATTAGTGCCCCACTCTGCTGCATCCTGTTCTTTCCTCTGCTCTGCTCTGGCATGTGGCAAACAATCTACCTTCCTGAAATGAACTGGTCCAGCCCTGCTACACTGTTATATGCACTTTACTGTATCTGCTGCATGCTTCATGTACCACAGTCCTCCACTGTGATCCAACAGCTACCTGATCACAGTGGATCAACATGTTCCTGTAATACTATTTCTTTTACTCACAATCTGACGGTAAAAACAGCTCACAGAGGGGGGAAAAGGAAAAAAGAGTAACTTTTCTTTGGTTTAGAAAAATAAAAAGAACACAAGCGTTCTTTTAAAAGATTTAAACCATCAAAAGAAGAAAGAGGCAGAGAAGAGAGTGAGTTTCACAGAAAAGGAAAATCAGAGAGTACTGAAAGACTTAAATAATGGAAATAAATGAACAAAAATCGCTAGCCTCAACCTTCAAGTAACACCCCAGATTAAACCAGTACAGTTGAACGTGCCTGCTTATATTTTACACCGTACTGTTGCTCTCATTCCTGTTGCAAATTGCACACCACCACATGTCACTTCCTTCTCAGGTGACACTTCTCAGGTGACAGTCGAGAACTTGTCTTGTACTCTGGCATTGCAGGGACCATGAAGCCTGGTGGATTTGCATCCATCAGTCTGAGCAAATGGAAATTTATTTGACTTTCCAATTTTCCTTCACACGCAGTCACCTCCAGAATCCCTTGTCACTTACACTTTGCTCTCCATGTAACCAAGTAATACACTCAGAGGAGACTTTATTAGGTACACCTGTTCAGCCAATCACATGGCAGCAACTCAATGCATTTAGGCATGCAGACACAATATTAATTGGTTAGGTGTTTGCAGTTTTAGTATACAATCTGATTGCCTTGATCATATTTAAAATATCACAGTTGCCAGCTGAGAGTCAATGAATTAACCATTAGCTGACCCTAAAAAGACACTGCTGATTGCCTGTGTAACCAAAGCCTAATACAGCTCATTATAGTGTCCCAACGCTCCCAAACCTATTAAAAACCCATCAACGAGCCACACAATCATATCCAGTAACATGCTGCTTCACTAAAGTCAACATGGACACTGTTGTTTACTTATTTTGTCTCAATACCACACGCACTGTCACCCTAGAGCAAGAAACACATATTAGTCCACAGCTAAAAATAGTCCCCAGCCGATTCACAATTTACTCCTATTTAAGCAACCTTTGCCCAGCGGGTTTGAAGAATGTGACTTTTTGCTTTTTGTTTTACATTTTCAGTTAAAACGAATGTGCTCCAGGCCGACATGCACACTGACAGGCTGTTGGTTTGTATGCTTTCATTGGATTTGGTGACAGTGACTCTACCATTATCCTTTAATGTTTTCATTCATTATGGTCAACAAATGCAGAGTGAAAACACCAAAATGTGAAAAGAAATAAATGCATTAAACTAGCTGTATATAAACGGTGGGTACGGCCTTGAACATCAACTTCAAATAGACTTAAAAAAAAAAAAAAAAAAGATTAAATGACTCCTTGAAGGCTCGACGCTGATGTATTTGTTAATTACACCATTCGTTACATGGACACCTGTTCTCAGATATCATGCTGTAAGTCTGACACTACAGAGAGCAGAGAAGTCCAGAGAAAGTATAAGGGGCCGAGGGAAAGGAGGGGGCGGCTGGCACAGATGTAAATGGAGATAATGTTCCTGACCTTCTGAGCTGTGGGAGCTGAACTTTCCTCAGACAGTCAGCCTTGTTTTCTGTAAGGAAAGATCCAGCCATGCAGTAAAGTCGGGGAAAGCAGTGTAGAGTGCAATTGTGCGCGCACCTCATTGTGTGTGTGTCTGCATACAAGTGTGCATGTGTGAGTGGATAATAACACCATGGGTGGCTGGCTTTTTACTTGTAACATCGACACCATTCTGACCTTTTTCGGCTGAGGATCCCACACTCTTCCATTTTAACCACTGACGACTATGAGACCAACTTCGGCGCTGATCTTCTCAAGTGGGTCTCCCAGCATGCCACCCAGGTAATCCAGGAAAGACAACACCCAGCTACACATAATGTCCTCTCGTGACTGAAAGAACCTAATATGTCAGAAAATCCTTTATGGTTTAAGTTGCAAGACTTTAATCCTGATAACTGAATTAATTCTGTGCAATTAAACTCTGTGGCCTTTAAAGGCAGCCTTTAATCTCTCAGTGTAATCCTAATTCTCAGACAAAACAGATCGGCAGTTGACATTTCCACAATTAAAGCATGACGTCACCCAAAATCACAGCACGTAGGTTAATCCTTACTGCCATTTAAACCCAACACCTTGAGGTGGCACGCTTCGGAGACCGGAGGAATTTATTAAACATGAACATCCTCATTCACTGTTCAAATCCACACACACACACACACACACACACACACGTTTCCACATGCAATTCCAAGACAAGGTTTCTACGGCAACTACAAGTGATGGACATTTTTCATTTTGGCAGGAGACAAGTCCTCAGATTTTTTTTCCCTCTACCCTCTCTTTCTCCTTCTGTTTAGGCAGATATACATTTTATGAATCTGTTCAGCAATTTCGGTCTTCACTAACCTCGTCTCTTTGCAAGAACTCTGCGCACCAGTTACAGTTCTGTCACGTAAAACTGTTTGGTACAAACACACACACACACGCACGCACGCACACACGCACTGACTGCAGCTGGTTATTTTGCAAAAACAAGGAAAACTTCTGCTGTTTTTCTCCACTTTTCCCTGGAAACAAGGAGCTGCAGCAAAGTCCTCCAACTGTGCCTCCTGCTTAGGCACGCTTCAAATCTCAGCACTCTACTTCACTTTGGCTCCAAGTACACTCCAAGCTGCTGAAGCTTTGACAAGTTCTGTGAAAATGCTAACAACCCGTTTCATCAAGGCCTATTCCTTGGGGGGGGACTGCAGAGAATGATGTCTATGATCATCTGTGGCCCAGAAAAACCTTGAATTTCTGCAACGGATGATCTGTTTAGACTGGCAGGGGCGATCTGGTGTGATTTGGGGCGATTGTGGCTCAAGAGTTGGGAGTTCGCCTTGTAATCGGAAGGTTGCCGGTTCGAGCCCCGGCTTGGACAGTCTCGGTCGTTGTGTCCTTGGGCAAGACACTTCACCTGTTGCCTACTGGTGGTGGTCAGTGGGCCCGGTGGCGCCAGTGTCCGGCAGCCTCGCCTCTGTCAGTGCGCCCCAGTGTGGCTGTGGTTACAATGTAGCTTGCCATCACCAGTGTGTGAATGGGTGTGTGAATGGGTGGATGACTGGTTGTGTAAAGCACTTTGGGGTCCTTAGGGACTAGTAAAAGCGCTATATAAATACAGGCCATTTACCATTTCACCATGAATATGTTTAGCTTATAAAGGTCTTTGCAGTATGGAGATAATGGCGTCTGAT